ACCCCTTGCACCTGCCAAAGGCACACAGGTAGTTCACTGGAGGAGAGAGCCTTTTCAATAAATGGTGTTGGAGGAAGTAGACATGAAAGAGCAGAAAAAGAAACTTGCTAAGTTTACATCGTATGCGAAAATTAACTCCAGCAGGCTTAATGTAAAACACAAAACTAAAACCCTTTAGAAGCCCAGGAGAAATTCTTCAGGATTTAGAAATTCTTCAGGATCTTGAGTTCTTGGCACCAAGAGCATAAGCCATAAAAGATAAAAGGGAAAATTGACAAACTGAGCCTCATCATAATTTTTTTTTTTTTTTTGGCTTGGCCATGGACTTGTTAGGAGGGTAAGGAGATATGCTACCAACTGGGAGAAAAGACTTACAACCACATATTCAACTAAGGACTAATATCTGGACTTTATCAAGAACTCATGCCAGGTGTGGTGGCATACGCCTATAATTCTAGTGGCTCAGGAGGCTGAGGCAGGAGGATCACAAGTTCAAAGCCAGTCTCAGCAACTTAGTGAGGCACTTAGGAACTCAGCAAGACCCTGTCTCTAAATAAAATACAAAAAAGGGATGGAGATATAGCCAAGTGGTTAAGCATCCCAGTACAAAAAAAAAAAAAAAAAGAAGAAGAACTCATAAACCTAGTTTTAAAAAAAATCTAATTAGAAAATAGTCAAAAGATATGAAGAGATTTCACATAATAGGATATATGGCAAACCCATAAAAAGACATTTACCATCATCAGTCAATGGGGAACCAAATCCACAATGAAATAACACTATATACCTACTAGATGAGCAAAAATAAAATTTAAAATGGTACCATATCAAATGCTGGCAAAGATGCAGAGAATGGGATGATTCACACAGTTTACAGGAATAGCCACTCTGAAAAACAGTTTCTTAAAAATCTAATGTGATCTGGATTATGGATGTAGCTCAGTTGGTAGAGTGCTTGCCTCACATGCACAAGGCCCTGGGTTCAATCCTCAGCACCGCAAATAATAATAATAATAATAATAATAATATGTAATCTAATGGCCACTACCATACACGCCAGTAATTACAACCCTGGGCATTTACCCCAGAAAAATAAAAACCTATGTTCACACAAAAACCTGCACACAAATGTTCACAGCAGCTGTGTTCATAAGAACCCCAAACTGGAAACAATGCAGGTGTTCTTCAAAGAGTGATTGATTATGTAAACAAACTGGTACAACCTCATAATACATACCACACAGCAATAAAAAGGGAGAAATGGCGGAGGGTCCCCAACTTGCAATGGTTTGATGTATGATTTTTTTGATGTCTAAAAGCGATACATATTCAATAGAGCCATACCAGGGAGTTTTGAATCTTTTTATCTTTTCCCAGGATACACACACACACACACACACACACACACACACACAGTCTGATATTCTCTCAATACGCTGGCAGTGGTGGCCAACGTGTCACAGCTAACAGTTAGCCATGCTATCACAAAAGGAAACCCTCTACAGCACCCTGCTGCTAAGCTAGGATGTTAGGCAGATCAGGAGAATTGTGTACATTTTTGACTTATGCGATATTTTCAACATATGATAGGTTTATGGAGAACATAACCCCATCATAAGTCAAGGAGCATCTGGACTGATACAGGCAACAAGCTGGATGAATCTCCAGGGAATTGTGCTGAGGGAAAAGAGAGTTGTATACTCATATGGTTCCATCTATATGACATTTCTAAAATGACAAAATACAGAAATGAAACAAATAGTGATCACTAGGCATTAAGGTTGGGGTGGCAACTGGAGTAACTCTTACGGTGATGAAACGGTTCCATTTCTTGACTCRTCAGTGTCCACCTCCTGTTGTGATACTGTTCTACAGCTCTGTGAGATGTTACCATCAGGGGAACCTGATGAAGGGTACATGAGCCCTCTCTATATTAATGATTCCATGTATCTAAAATATCTCAAAATAAAAAGGAAAGAAGGGAGAAAGATGCCTGTTGCCAGTGAACTAGTACCCCTTTCTCCAGGCCTGTTAACTCAGGCTGAAAGGCGCCAACGAAGGGTGGTGGTCTTACTGGTCTAGCCAGGACCCACGGTCAACCCCTTCCAACCCTCAGAACCGTAACAGAGGTGGCCAGGCCAGTTCAGGAAACTACTATGGATGGTTCTCTGAGAGGAGTGTGCAGACTGAGGGAACGCTGCCTCCAGGCAGATCTCCCAAGAGCCATGAGCTGTGGGAACAAGGCTTTGCTCCATAGGGGCCCTACCTCAAAGGGCAGCTGCAGTGAGGCTATGGGGAAGTCCTTACAAATGTGGATAGGGAGCCCTGAGTCTCTCAATTCACCAATAAGTTACCAAGAGCAGGGAGGTCAATGGAAGATGGGAGGCAACATTTCAAATTCACAGACATAGGAGGCAACCCCGCAAAGAAGGGGCTCGGCCAAGGTTAGGGTCCTGGAGATGCCACTCATCTCCTAAATTCTGTGAGAAGACAAAAGTATTCTAAGTGCCAATCTCAGGAAATTTTCTTTTTCTTTTTCTTTCTTTTTTTTTTTTTTAATTTTGTTGAGTTGTAGATAGACACAACACCTTTATTTTATTTATTGATTTTATGTGGTGCTGAGGATTGAACCCAGTGCCTCACAGGTGCTAGGCAAGCACTCCATCATTGAGCTATACCCCCACCCATCAGAAAGGAAATATTTCTATAGGAAGATTTTTTTCCCAACTAAGTTTAAGTTCACAGACTGTAAATTGGCCAAGGGTCATGTGATGAGCAGACTGGAAAGACGGACTATGGACTGATCCCCATTCATCTGGTCTTTCTGTCTTACTGCAGCCCTACCGCCCGCTACCACGCTTGCCCAKTGTCACACCTGGTGGCAGCAAGGGTGAGGAGGCCCTAGCTCCCGCATTACGAAGCCAGCATTTCCAGCTTGCCTCCCAGGCAAGTCTAACTGCGAGTGCAGAAGGAGAAGCAGCCGCTCCACGCAGAGCTGGTGCAGCCCGGGCTGCTGAGGCAGAACCAGACTCCCCGTCCGTCCACGTGAGAACCACAGCCGTGTCTGAGGCAAACAAGAGGTTGTGGGGGTCTTCGGGGCCATGACTRCAGTGAGTGGTGGGGCACCAAACACCAGAAGAAGGTGACAGGGGCACTTCTGTCTCCCGCCCTTCAGGCCTGGCTATACAGTCGGATGAAGCTCACTACCTGTAAATCCTCTTCTTGGGAGTGCTGAGGGGGTGACTTAGGCAGGCTTAACTGGAGAAAGGAAATGGAATGATGGTCCATATTTTACTTGATGTTTACCTAACCTTAGAGTTAAAACAGAGTAAGGCAGTTACTTATTCCTTAGGATTCCAGGTGACATAGGRGACCTACATGTTTTACCTGTCCCAGCAAAATACAAAAATGACAGCAAAGCAACCACACACAGGAGAGAGACATACCCTTTTGATCCCAGCTTAATGCCGAGCCTAACGGGTCAATAGAGAACAGGAACGGGGGAATACAAGACCAAGGAAAATGTCTGCAACTTTGCCCATGTCCTTCCATGTTCCTGGAGAAGAGGGGGGTCCCAGAAAAAACAGCCACATCTGAGGGCAGTGCCAAACTGAGGACCTGAAAACTAGGGACCTGTGGGAACCCTCCAAGGCCAGCAGGGAGCCCACTAACCAGAAACAGGGCTTGGGACAAAYACTGTAAACAAACGGCTTTGAGGTTTTCCTTGGCTTCTTTTACTGCATTCTTTTAAGATGAAAACAAATACTACCCTTTTGATGAAAGGGCAATAAGATAAGGGGGCATCCAGATAGAASCCAAGCATCATCGCTAGGATCCACTAAGTTCCAGCAATCACTCYTGACTACAGAGCTGCTTCTCTTCCGACCCACTCGACGGTCGGAGCCAGGGACACATTCAACATACAAACCCGCAGGAACACTGTCAAAACTCTCATTGCATCTGTTGCCACTAAACTGAAAATCACTGGAAAAATACTGAGGCATTCTTGATCTTTGTTCCCCAAATTCTAAATCCTACAAATAACAACCCAGTAGTTGCCCTTGAAGAACCAATCGCCAAAACTACCAGACCACAGCACATGCCTCCTGATGAACAAGATACCGGAGAAAGACCACCTCCCCGCTGGATCTCCATAAAGACARGCAGAGTATTAGCTCAAAATGGCACCCCTCCCCCCTCAAATTCCACTCATTTGCTGATTTGGCCAGTATCATACATTTCTCTAGCTGGAAAGTATTTCAGCATGTGAAATTATTTTCGAATAGTAGGTGTATTTGTTAAACATTTAACATTTAACTAAAAGTTGTCTCAGAGAGAGAAGCAAGTGACAGAGATAAAAGATGAGGTCCACTGTGAAAGATATTTTACCAACATGGATCTGTACTTCACTACAAAATCACAAAAGCTGCAAACACACACAAAGGTATCCCATGTACACAGTGATGTGTTTTGTCATTTGTGGCTTCCACTCACTGTAGTAAAGAACATTACAGAACATACTGTTGAACCTTCTTAAGTAGACATGCCATAAAAGTACGTATGCATTGGGTATGTTTATGAAAGCCATTTCAGTATTATAAATAATAACAAGTAATTTTTAAATTCCAAAATTGTCACTAGTAACTCAGGAACTGATKACATATCCCAACTTGATCACTTAACACAATGGGATGACAGTATGATTTTATAGCTAAATCCAGACTCCCAACATATATTCCAATGACCAATTACTTAAACCTAACTACCGTAACTAAGCCATCACATACACTTTTTATCTAGCTAAAAGAACCATCTTTATGGTACAACATTGCTTCTATTCTATAGAAACAATCCTTGCTCTCTCCAGTGCTTACCTGCACACACACGCGCGCATCCCTGTCCACGTAACTGCACTACCACCCCTAAAATCAAGCCATCTTATTGAGCACTCACAGCTACAGACCCATCACTGAAACACCAAAATTTAAATGATACTCTACTTGTCCACTCGTATCTGCAGCCTGCTGGAAATGTGTGGCCAGCGACGTCTCGTCCTGGAAGACTTCGTTACACTCCAAACATTTGAGACTGTGTCTACAGAGTTTGGAGGGGTCTTCATCTAGGGGCATAGCTGGGGTGATGGGTGTGCTTGAAGGAGCGGATATGACGGTCCCAGTTATGCCAGACTGGATTTTTGTTACAGTGTGTGTGCCAGCTCCCACAGAACTCTGCGGAGTGGAGGATGAAGCGGGAGTATTGCTAGACGGAGAAACTATCATTTGATCTGCTGGGACTGGCTTTAAAATTAAATGGGAGCACTGCATTACCACTCCTTTCTCCTTATGCCCACGAGCATGGGAAAGGAGGCTGCATTTGTTGTAAAAAACAAGGTTCTTTGTACAATGGTTGCACGTTACTTCGATGCGCACACTACGCCTGTCGTAGTGCTGGGTCAGGCTCTTTTCCAGTGCAAAGGAGTCCCCACACTCCAAGCACTTGTACCCACGCGTCGGTAACGTGATCCCTGCATTGGCGGGAGGACTGAGGTTTGGGATGTAAACTGGGACTGGATTGACACTGCTCAGCACCTTGTTGAAAGCTTCCACCACAGAACTCTGCAAGGACGACACCACCTGGACCCGAGACACCTTTTTGGGTGGTTGTGAGGCCGCTGCATTGATTATTGCCTGCTTTATTTGTTGCTGAGGTTTGGTTAGCACTTGGCGGAGTTCAGAGGTGGCCTGGGCACCCTGAGGCAGAAGGTTAAGGTTGGCAAGGTGCACAGTCTTTGGCACGAGTTTGGCGTTGGCCAGGCTGGATGCCGGGACCACGACAGTTTGCTGCTGGATGGCGTTGGCGGCTTTAATGATGGCGCTGCTGGCACTCTGAACAGAGGCAGCAGATATGACTGTGGCTTTCACCGTGGTGTTATTAGCGAGCTTCAAATTGATGACCTGGGACCCTGCYGTCTTGACAGCAGACACAGGGAGGAAAGCAGTGGCCACAGGCTTGATGGTGACCTGTTTAGGGGTCAGCTCTGCAGGGGAAACTGCATTGGTAACAACAGCTGACTGGAGAGGCGCCCTGGGCGGGGAGGAAAGGACAGCAGCAGATGCTGGAGATGAGAGGAGGGACGTCACAGAGGCCATCACGGATGCTGTCTGCTCAGAAGGCTTCTTCACAGAGTCRAGATCGACTTCCGGCAACACCCTGGTCACAGTTCTCTTGATCTCGCCGGAAGACGTCTTGATGGTTTTGATGCGGACCTTGGGGATGGCAGGTGTGGGTCCTGCGGGGGAGGATGGGGAGCCTTTGCTGCTGTTCTCRCTGGACACGCTCCGGGGACTGTCCGGTGGCTTTAGGGAGGCTTTCTTGGTGCCATCAATAAGACTCTGGGATTCGGGAGACTTGTCGGCGGCCCTCGGGCTATCATGCGTGTCTTTTGGTAACGGAGAGGGTTCCCTGGAGTTGGCCACTGGCTCTTTGTTGCAGTCCGAGGCCGCCTTCTTGGCGCTCAGGGCTGCGATGGCTGCTATGCACGAGGAGAGCTTGGAGGAAGACTTGGTCTTAGGCAGGGCGACACCAGCAAGGCTCACGTCACTCTTCTCGGAGCTCAGCTTCCCATCCAGGACCCTGTTCTCAAGCACCTTTTCCGAATTCTCCTTCAACTTATCCTCCACTTTTCTGACTTTAAAAGGTTCATAAACACTCAGATTTATGGAGTTGGTTTCTGTTTCTCTCTTAACTTTGTTTTTTTCTACGCTGCCTGAAGTAGAGATTCCAGTTTTGCTGGAGTTTTCCCCTGCAAGAGCCTTCAGCTTGTCGTAGTCCTGCTGGGGTACGGACCCCGCCAGCACATTCGGTCTGAAACCTGAACGCACATCCTCCTTATCAGGGGGGTCGTCCACCTCAATTTTCTCGTCGTCATCAAACTCTTCAGCACTTGAGATGGGGCTGAACTGGCTGAACGTGGAGTCTTTCAGAGTCCCCTCGGAGGCAGGTGCGTCCCCTTTCAAGGACTTCGCTCCATCTTTACTGTAACTGTCCAGAGAGGACGCAGTGAGAAACCCGTTATGCAAGCCATTGCCTGTGGGGTTGTGTCCGTCCTTCTCGGGGCCCTCCGAGGAGTCGATGTTGCGAACATTCTTAACAATCACGCTGACACCCACGTCGGAAGAGGATGGCGTGTGAGAGTCCTCGTCCCCATGGGCATTCTGCTTGATGTGGCTTTCGTGGTCATCGTGTCCAGACTCAATAGCTGCTTTGGGATCGACCATATCTGGGATGTCAAATGCTGCCAGGAGGTCATCAAAGTCTGGGGTCTTCATATCCCCCATGGTCATGAATTTGATCAGATGTTCTGTTAAAGGAAGACAAAAGAATTCCATCAACTGGTGAGGTCACTCTCCCTGTGGGGTTTATACCAACACACTGATGATCACCAAGGAAGCACAAGTTGGCAAAGGCACTTGGTGTAACATTCAGAGAATATGTACAAGATCCATATTTACAGTTTCAAAAGTAACCTCTCTAAAATGCTATCTGATATCACCAGTGTGACTCCTATCTCAGGAAAAGTCAGCCAGTCAACACTGCATAGGTCAGAAAGGCGGGTCTGGTGTAGCAACTAAAAAGCTGTCACGTATAACTGAATTTATCACACCGTTTTCATACACACTGACTTCCAAACATATTTTGAACTTGAAAGCATTTAATTCCACAGCAAAATTATCAGTATTATAGTCACCATCAGACTTGGAATACTATAATAAAGCAAATAGATTATGATCAAAAAACCAATTATAAATTTCAATATTCATCCATCAGAAGAAAGAAATGGGCACTCAAACCCACCACAGGATATCCACTACTAAGTTCCACATGGAACTTTTTTAAAAACCCCTAAGGAGCTGATTCCATCCATATTTATTTAACCCTAATTTTCCCTATTATGTTAAAAGAGAAATAGTCCTGGTCAGGTACAGTGGTGCATGCTTACAATCCCAGTGGCTGGGGGGGCGGGGGCGCTATGGCAAAAGGATACCGAGTTCCAGACCAGCCTCAGCAACTTAGAAAAGCCCCAAGCAGCTTAGTGAGATCTGATATCAAAATAAGAAATGCAAAGGACTTGGATGTAGTTCAGGGGTTAAGTGACTCTGGGTTCAATTCCTCGTATCAAATAAATAAGTGAATGAATCAATGAATGAATGAATCAATCAAAGAAGCACTCCTGGATGGAAGGATAGTTAGTTTTAGGAAAATGGACAGTCACAGCCATTACCAAAGATGAAAGGGAAAAATACATGCAGTACTTGGGGTCTTCGCAGGGGGCCCTTCATCCCACCTGCAGAAGACAAGTGATAGTAAGGATCAGATACAATTTCCACTTCAGGAGAGATCATTCTGCTCTCTGAACCCCATACTGCTCATCTTCAGATTCTATTATTTCCTGGCATGTCCTCCAGCATGTGTGTGCTTGTCTCTTCTCACCCCCTGGCCTGTAAACTGCCTGAGGACAATGTGCCACTCCTCTGTACACTACCCACACAGAGCATTACTGGGTCTAAGTCAAGGCCAGAGGCTGGATTTATAACAGAAGAACAGGTGTGGGCCCAGCTTTGTCACTAGGGCTGAGACCCTCAGGAAGCAGCAGAATCTCCTTGGACTTGGTCCTTCTTTCTGCATTGGAGGCAAGCAACCAGAAAGAGAAGGAAAGGAAAAAGGAAAGAAGAAAGGAGAATGGAAGATAGGAAAGGGAGAGAAAGAGAAAAGGGTCGGGAGAAGAGATTAAAAGGAAAGGAAGAGCGGAGCGCTATGGCCTCACACCAGTAATCCCAGCTGCTCAGGAGGCCGAGGCAGGAGATTGTGAGTTCACAGCCAGCTTCAGCAACAGCAAGGCATTAAGCAACTCACGAAACCCTGTCACTAAATAACATATAAAATAGGGCTGGGGATGTGGCCCCTGAGTTCAATCCCCAGTACCAAAAGAAGGGCAGGTGGAGAGAAAGAGGCATTGAACAAGCGACAAAGTTGTAAGGGAGGAGGATTACCACTGACACAGGCAACTGCAAAGGAAGAATGAGCCTAATCAGGTGCACACATTCCAGCTCTCCAGGATTTACTACGCTATTCCTCCTCTAACCTATTCAGTGGCTCCCGGGATGCTGTCTTCCACATTTTCCTTGTGCTTTTATTTCTTGTACAATCTGTAAAAAAGATGGAGCATTCCTGGTGAAACTAGCAACACAGGGGTCAGGGATCTGGCCCTGAATATGCATCCCTGTGAAAACTGATAAACCACAAATGCACAACTCTCTCTGGGAACACAAACCCGTTGAGGATGAAATACATACCTGAAGTATTAATCGCCTTCCATTCACACATCTCAGCCACACAGAGCTGGAGAAATCTCGGTATAATTTTCTCCCAGTGGTTTGCTTAGCTTGAAGCAAACTGTTCACTATTCTCTGCCTACTCGTCAGACTGGGAAATATATATACCCCCAGCATCAAACCACTACTAAGATAAAAGATGCTTAGAAGGGGCTGGGGCTGTGGCTCAGCAGTAGAGCACTTCGCTAGCACATGCAAGGCCCTGGGTTCAATCCTCAGCACCACATAAAAATAAATAAAATGAAGGTATTGTATCCAACTACAACTAAAAAATAAATATTTTTTAAAAAGATGCTTATAAAAGAAAATATTAATATTTTACTGATGTGAAAATATCCATGAGAAGTCATACCCAGGAGGAAAATGTAACTAAACATTTAAACTGCAAAATGTGGGGAATAAAAAATCCATCTGTCAGATCCTATATCCACACAGGAATCCACCCACGTATGAATAGCCCTTGAATGCCACCACTCTCACTTTTAAGCCTCACTCTGCTGTTGTGAATTGAATGCCCACAATAAGCTGCCTAAGCAGAGCCGCCTTGCAGGCTGTCTTTACCAACCACAAGGCCCTAGGTTATAGGCCACCATATTTTGAAAACTTATAAAGAATCACGACTCACTCCCTGCCCCAGTACCAGGGTGGGAAAGTGAATCTTTACCCAGCTCCCAGACGACCCTAGTGGTAACTGGGCCCTGCCTAAGTCCCCCTAGCCTATCCTTACAGCTGCATGGGACTTTTGTCACTAACCATGTCTTTGTGATTTGGTAAGCAAAACACATCACACTGTTCCTACCAAAGCACGGTCAGTTCAGGTACAAAATGATGGAAAAGATAATCCAAATATCTGCTAGTCATGAGAACCAGGACATACCACCACAAGAAATGACAAAAGGTCACCATGTGGGTGGGTTTTCCCATAAACACTTGCAAGATTAAAATGCGGTTTTGAACATCTTCCATTCCTGCTGAACCACAGGCTGCAGCGTTAGACCCTTCAGTCTGGGCTGACTTCTTGCACCCACATCAGCACATCCTTTGCTATCCACCCAGCAGGGTATATGCATGGGTGACTGGCCTGCAAAGCCCAGGGGTCAACGAGGCACTCAGAAGATGCTCCTCCATCGGGACTGAGTGTGCCCGGCCTCCCATTTCTTAACTCCACCCAAAGTTTACCTTCCTTTTTCCTTGCAAGGTATGAGAAAGCCCAGGGTAAAATAGTGGGGCGCCCTGAAGATGTGAAAGTGAATTACCAGATTAAAAAATATGAACCAGCAGAGCGCAGTGGCACATGCCTATAATCTCACCAGCTCAGGAGACTGAGGCAGGGGATCTCGAGTTCAAAGCCAGCCTCAGCAACGGCAAAGTGCTAAGCAACTCAGTGAGACCCTGTCTCTAAATACAATACAAAATAGGGTGGGAGATGCGGCTCAGTGGTTGAGTGCCCCTGAGTTCAATCCCTGGCACCATAAATAAATAAATGAATAAATAAAGTGAAGCAGCTGTCATCTTCCCCTGAAGGAAGCCTCACCACAAGCTCAAGAGGCATCATGAGTGAGTGGCCGATGGGAGGCCCGTCATGTGGTCTGAAACTTGAGGTCACTGCGGCAGGTGGGCTCATCTGTGCCATGTAGTCAAGGTAATAAACACCCTGTTGGGTAACTTCACACTCCACTTCTACACCCACAGGCACACTGGCCTGTCACTGCCTCCCCTTCCCACACTCTGGAAGGCAGAAGCTAACGTTCCCGGTAGAGGGAGAAACCCACTCCACTCCCACTGCATTTCTCAGTTATACTGAGCACAAAGAGAACGACTGTACCTGGAAGTTTCCCTCTTTCCCACCCAATCCCCAGTACTACCATCTTAAAAATAGATTCTTGTTCTTAAAAACATTACAAAAATAAACTTCAGTTTTTTTCTTTTAAAAGATAATATAGAGCAAGCACCCTTGTTTTAGATTCCCTTTCACTTGACAGTTTGATTTCCAAACACAATAATCTTTGCTTAGTGTAACTATGACTTTCATTTCATTTACACCCTACAAAATATATCTTCTTTCAAAGGTTATCAATGGTGTTTTAATTTAAACCAAACCCCATATCAATAACTAATAATTCACTAACAGCAATTGTGCTTAATGTATAACGTCCTTTCCCACCAAAGACACTGAAAGTATCTGGAGGAAAAAAATACTAGGCCCATTTACAAAAAAGGAAATCAAAAGAACTGAAGTCTGTCACATGGCTGCTGCATTCCATCCTGTAAGACAGATGGACAAAACACTTCCTTTCCTACCAAAGTTTCTTAAAATTACAGAAAGATATTTCACCTTTGTTGACAGAAACCAAAATTTATCAAGTCGAGAAAAAATTGAGGAAAACCTACTTACTACTTAATTATATACTTCTTATCCTTTGCAATTAAAAAAAATGTTCAATAAAAAATAGTGTTCTTCTCAGTAATAAAAGAGGATGGGTGGCTTCCCAATTTCCAACCAGAGAAGTCAGTGTTAAAACCACTGAGTCCTGACTACAATGATTCCCACAGGGGAGATACGGGCCTAACCATCCCCAGCTCTACCTCCAAGACACAGAGAGGTTAATCCGACCAGTGAAAACATGAGATGCCCCATTTAAAAGAAGAAACTAGCATTCCCCTTAATGAAAATCAATAAAACTCTAAATCATAATAGTCCTATTTAAAGAAAAACAAATGAGTCTAATGACTATCTTGACAGTATTCTACAAACATCCCATTAAACAACTAGATATGTCATTCTCTTTTGGGGTTTCCTGTTGCTATTCTAGACAATCTGGTCATTGTAATTTTTTTTTTAATGCCATTGAATTTTTTAAAGAAATAATTTAACAGATTAATGGATCTAATGCATGTTCTTATATCCTTCTTATCCTTCTTTCAAATATAAAATGTTCTTATAACACATGTTTATTTTACATTATGC